ATTGAAACTACGTTTGGCAGGAACATTTCTTGGCATCGCATCTTAGCGTATGAAGAAAAGTATGTTTTTGACATAACCATTTAGATCATGTAACATTCAGTACAAACTCTGAACCACCTATGAGCATTCCATGCAGACAGATGTGGTATTATGGAAGTCAACTGCACTGTCAGCAGGTCAGAGAGCACAAGGGGGTATCCAGGTGTTTCAAAGGGGGAAATGGCTGTTGCCATGTTACGCTGATCTCTTCCTGTATTTGCACATCTCTCTTAAATTTATCCTATGAATATCTACTCATGGAAAGCTCTGCCTTCAGGTTTTAAAATTATGATACCATAGTAAGATTTTGTAGCCACATGTCCAGGTTTCTAAGGAATATTTTGACGTGCTCAAGTTGAAGCATGTGTGTCCACTGTGTGTGGTGAGAACACTCACATGCTTGAGAAACAAGTGCTCCTACATTCCCTGCACAAATAAGCTGCATTTGCCATGAGGAGGAGAAAAAAAGTAACTTGTAATACTTCAGGTTAATACGGGAAAGTAGAGCTACTTCTTTCTCTTCTCTGTTTTACAACAATATTAGAACTTCAGACAAGATGGAAATTGTCATCTGTGTGAAGATGCAGCAGAGGTGTGGTGCTGCCTTTAAGGTTTAGGGCTTTTGATTCAGTTCACTAAAAAGTTGTGGGCAGTTATAACCCTCACATGTAGACTCACTTTAGATACTTGAAGGTAATCTTGCTTTAATTGTTTGGAATCAAGCTTTCCATCTTGTTCCTCAACCTGTTATTTATTTAAAGATAGCTAGTTTAGACCAACACTGAGCTCTGACACCATTTAAACCAGTTTAGACTACTTAAGGCGATAAATTGCAGAAAATTAGGAAATTCCCTGTGTTCTTCCCCCTGTCCATTGAGCCTTCCACAGACTTCTTGCCTGGGCTTAGGATGCAGCCTGCTTGGTTTTCATTAGGTGTGCCTAGCTGAGGAGCCTGTGTCACTGCAGATCTGTAAGTACACACCCCCCACAGCAATATTTCAACAGTATGGAAAAAGTAGGTATCGATAAACTGCATTCCATCAAAATTAGCTTTACAAGGGATTATTCCAGTTTGCTTGAAGGTCTCTGGGGAGAGGGAGAGAGACTTGAGAAGGGTTTATAAGTTAGCATTGAGTGCTTAAGTATGACTTATTTTAAGAAAAAAAAAAAATTCAGTATTTCATTCTTATTTTTTTAGATGAGGAAAAGAATTCCACATTGCTTTAATCTGAAACAGAACTTCTTTTAACTACTCAGAAATACAGTCATGATGAAAGAGCCTCGAGGTGCCAACCGTACCGGCACATGAATCGAGACACACCAAAAATACTTCAGTAATGGCCAGCTTCTGCTTTTTTCCTCTCAAACCCTGTATTTAACATTGCTCTCCTTCACTAAGCAACATTTCCTGTTTTCCAGTTTCCTCTATTCCACCAGTTCTTTCGAAGATTAGGAAATACTACAGAGCTTAACTGCAAAAACCATCTTCATAGGACATTAAAGCATTAAGCAATTAATTTTTTCTAATTTGCATAAGACTCATACATCACAATGAGTCACGCACTATTTCCATACAGCTTTGAAAACACTTTGAAAATATTTCTTTTCGCCCTGCAGGTGAAGCCGACACACATTTTGCTTTGAAAATCTGTGTTATCCACTGCAGACCTGTGTTTACCTCCCGCACTTCCCCGCAGCCCCTTGGCAAAACTCCCTTTTACTCTAAAGCTTCTGCCAACTTCCTCGTGCCTCGGCGCCTCCCAACCGCCCCGCTCTGGGCTGCGGGCAGCGGCCCGTCCCACCGGGCGTCCCCGCAACAGCTCCGTTCCCGAAGGAGACCGGGAGCGGACCAGCCCCTACCTGAACTTCTCCCCGGCCGGCACCGTCAGCTTGTTGAGCTTGTCCATGCCCGTGAGCGCTGCCCCGCCGGGACGCACCG